AGCTGTTTTGTTATTTTTGAAATAGAGTAAAGTTAAAGTTGGAAAACAATTTTTCCCTTACCGGTTCTTAAGTGCAAATGATGGACCCAAGTGCGGGAAATGGTTCTTCCAAGGGCCCCAATTTCACCACCATTCGACTTGTTTTGCAGAATTCATGAAAATTAAATCCAAAAACTCTTCGATCCATCTGACAAAATCTTCTTCATATCGCAAGATTTTATTTAATCCTGATTCATATTTTTTCATTCCATTTCTTAGAACATAAATTTCTGATATTACGATTTCTATACAGTATAAAACCAGTCCCGTAGTCCTTCATTCTTCGTGCGTCCATGGGTTCTTTAGGTAAACATCGGGAGAAGATAATCCTTTTATGTCCAACCTCAGTCCTCGCTTATCTATGGGATCTATAAAGAACAAGCAGCTTTGGCTAATACCAGAAGCCAAAATACCTACTGGGTCAACCAACAAACAATAGACAGGCGATGCAACGAAATCTCTGGAGATAATCAATCCCAAACAAGAAAATACGCCTACACGGCGTATTGCCCGTTCGTTAAAAGTTCTGTCTGATTCCAAGGACAGGGTACAATGTTATCCTGATAGACGATCCCCGCAGGCGCAGGGAGGAAAACACCAAACATGAACAGGAGTGGCAAAATGAAAATTAGGTACTGTAGTTATTGAATCGAGCTCCAAGAAGAAAAAAATGGTGCAGCAGTATGGACAGTAGGCAAGTGAATTTGTTTTTAAAATCATTATATTACATATTTATGTAAGTTGTATATGGATGAATGAATGATTTAACTATGTATGGCCTAATGTATTTGGTCCCCCCATTGATAGTTAGAATAGCTTGACAAGACAGTAGCTAATATATATTAATCTATAACACCAGTTTTTCGGGTGAGAATAGATAAGTCGGGTTTTTCCATCACACATTATGTGCCAAAGTTTTTACTTGTATGTATTGTTCACATGTCTTGCTATTCTGCATATCATAATATGACAAATGCATGTGTTCGCCGCCCGGGAGATACCTGATTATCGATGCACACACTATCACAACGCCTAACAAGCAACTTCCCAAATGGTTGAGGTGAAGCGATAATCAATATTTTGTTACTTGGTGTGATACATTGAACAATATGAAGCATAATGCATTGTAGTTTAAGCTTCCTTTCATATTACGGAAAATGTTATGGACCCAATCCCATTGGTAATCTTTCATAAATTCATGCATTATTACCTGACTGAAGTCTTATTACAGCTTTTTTATTGTACATATTGTGCTGAATTTGTTCGCCATTATTTAATTGATTGCTAGGAAGTAGGAACAAACTTTGATTTTCCAATTTTGATTAGATAGATGTTGTCTAGTTGATTCTACTCATTCATTGTTACCAAATAATACAGTTTTACATGGTGTGATACACGTATCACATTATGCTATCATTGCTATGTAATTTAAGGGATAATCAATATCTTTGATATTACGATTACTGTTATGTACCCTGTTCCATTGGCTTTCTTTCATATAGGCTTGCACTATTAACTGACTGCAGTCTTATTACAGTGTTTTCTTGTAAGCATTCTGCTCACATTCACCCCTGTATCATTGCAACCCAAAAGTCGATTTTTGCAAGTTTTCTTTTAGTCTTATTACAATGTTTTCTTTCATATTATTGCTTGCTTCAAATGAATTAGACATAGAGTGCTTGTTCTTTTTCTTTGTTTGGTTGATTTTACAGGCACGGAGCCGTGTGTATCCTACTAGCACAAGGTATGATTTGTTGTGGAATTACCGTTTTCGATTTTTTTGTCTATTTTTTTTAATTAATTAAGAAATTCCAGTTAATCCATAAATGGATCTCTATTAGTTGCATCGACTACGAGTACTTGACTTTTTTGCTCGACGAGGCATATTCGAAATAAAATTTTGTGCACCATTTTTCTCATATATGCTACTTCGATTAGTCTCAAATCATTTGAATATAAAATTATTGTTCACTCTTACTCGACTATCGATCCAACCCTAATTTCCAATGTTAGTAATTTGGGTTACAAAAGGTAGTCTACTTGTCCCATCTCATTTTTATTGGAATGAGCATCTCTTAAAGTCTACATTTTTTGTTTCTTAAAATAAAGGTAGTCTTCACACTTTGATTTCCATTGGGATTCCTTTTCACTTTTTGATCTCATCTATGGATTAATTTAATTGAGCCGTGGATGCAGTTTATCACACACATTCACCGTGATATTTGTTATTGTGTGCATAATGATGTCCATTAGTGCTTTTGTAATGCAACACCAAATGTGCAAAAGAAATGTTTTTTAATAATTTTTTGGAAATAGTTTGTTTGATATAATAGTTTTTGAGAGAAATTTAGCAATTGATTGATTCACTTTAAAATTTTAATATATTTTTTATTCTTTTTAATAATATATTTTTAATAAAATAATATCATACGTAAATTAAAAAAATTTCCTTCTTTTTAAACCACACATTCTCTCAAAAATTATTATTCCAAAGTACATTTTACCCAAATTTCTCATTATTACACTTGACAATTTAAAGTTGAGGAACCATTTATGTACAAAATGTAAAGTATAGTGAATATACGCTAGAAACAGAAGTTCCTTGTGGGTTACATGATGCATGAAATGTGGCTTCCATCCTGCCAAACGAATGCATTGTAAAGAGAGCATGTTTGGTTAACATAAAAAATACCTTTCTTTGTTTTGGTTTTTGCACCGCATTTTTAATGGAATATCCTTTGATAATGAGTTGATCTGTGTGTAATTTTGTGATACTACCTGAACATATATTCTAGCCCAAAGGATGTAGATGTAAATGTCATGACATTGGTTGCAAATGCCATGTTTTCTAGCAAGAATTAGGTAGTTAAAAATGTCATAAATTATTACAAAGACTTTGGCTTGTTTGGGATGTTGGCCAAATTAGGCTGAACCCGAAACTGTCATGTGGAAAGGAAACTGTGTAAGATTACAGATGTTTCCTTTATATTTCTGTTTATTAATGTATTGTGTTTCATTTATCCAAATAATTTAGAAATTATTGGTTATATTGCACATTACTTAAAAAATAAAGAATGGTTGTGAAAAATATCACAATCTTGACAATAAGTTTCTTCCTTACGAGGAAAATCTACAAGTCCCAATGATGAAGGCTTAGTTACGCACTAATCTAAATAAAAATAAATAAACAGAGTTGCTTTGGATTAAGTTACAATTATACGCTTTTTAGCATCCCTTCATATGACACCCTCTGTCTATATAAATACACACCTGCAAAATACTGACATGGAACTAACTTAAAGAATCAAGATGGAAGCTAGGAAAGGTACTCCATCAAAATCTTATAAACTTTTCTTTCATGTATACCCTCTTTTGCTTCTTCTTCTTCTTCCACCAATCTTCTTAAAATCTGTTTCTGCTGTCCCAAATAAAATTCCAAGGCTCACTCCATTTAAAAGAACAATCTTAAGTAACACTGATAATATTTTATCTCTGTCTTTATTTTCGAAAGATTTCAAAACATATTTTTACACACGAATTCTTGATCACTTCAACTATGGACCCCAAAGTTATGCCACCTTCAAACAAAGATACGTAATCAATTTCAAATACTGGGGTGGTGGAAATTCAAGCTTTCCAATCTTTGTATATCTTGGTGCAGAAGCACGATTGGATGAAGATCTTCAAAGTGTTGGTTATCTAACTAAAAATGCCTCTCATTTCAAGGCTCTTCAAGTATACATGGAGGTAATATATTTGGGACATCTTTGGTTCATGGTACCATTCAGTATTTTGAACAAGATTTCAACTTCTTTTTCTTCACTAATATTCCCCATTAATTCTGTATAGTGTGGATTCTGCAACAGTAAACAAAAATAAAGAAAAAGAAACTAAATTTTTTGAGCAAGATTGTAGGACACTACTATACATATATATATGGCTACTGTTTGTTATGGTGTATCAGTAGACAATATTTTAAATAATATTCCTACTTATTTTGCTTCTTTAATATACCTAGTCTTGCGCTATTGCACTTAATTTCTTTACTCATCGTGTAAAAAAATGTCACAAAAATCTAATATTCTCCTAATTCTTGCTTTTCTTAAGCATCGGTATTATGGAAAAGCAATCCCATTTGGATCAATGGAAGAAGCCATGAGAAATGAGAGCACTCGTGGATATTTCAACTCAGCTCAAGCTATAGCTGATTATGCAGAGGTACTATCGCACATAAAGGAAAGCTTTCAGCTCAGAATTCTCCCATTATTGTGATTGGAGGATCATATGGAGGAAGTAAACAAATCATGAATTAATCAATACTATCATTCATTTACTTTAATTAATTACAACTTTTGAGTTTTATTAAATTTGTTGTAAATTTACTTATAATTCAAATTATACTATATTTTTAGTGCTGGCTTCATGGTTTAGGCTCAAGTATCCACATATTGCTCTTGGAGCTTTAGCCTCATCTGCCCCCAATTCTTTACTTTGATGATATAACTCCACAAAATGGATATTACTCAAAAGTAACCAAGGATTTCAAGGTATTAATAAATTATAAAAATAGCAGTTTTTAAATCTTTTCAAGATTAAAAGAAATTATGAAGCATCTTTCTTTTCTTTTTGGCAGGAGTTCAGCAAGCGTTGTTACGAAACTATTCGAAGATCATGGTCAGAAATTCGCTTCCAAGCCCAGTGGCCTCTCCATTCTCGGTGAAAAATTGGAGACTTGCGGTATCTTTTTAATTTTGTTATTTCTCTACACAAAATTTATGAGAATTTTTTATTTTTTGCTGTGTTAAACCCTTTTAATTTCTTTTCGAAGTGGTAAAAATCATGAAATTAATCATCTTGTTTTTTGATTTACTATAACGCACTGGCCATGCTTCTGCACCACATTTTTACTGGAATATCCTTTGATAATGAGTTGATCTGTGTGTAATTTTCTGATACTACCTGAACATATATTCTAGGCCAAAGGATGTAGATGTAAACGTCATGGCATTGGTTGCAAATGCCATGTTTTCTAGCAAGAATTAGGTAGGTAAAAATGTCATTAATTATTACAAGGAGTTTGGCTTCCGAAACTGTCGTGTGGAAAGGAAACGGTCTAAGATTACAGATGTTTCCTTTATATTTCTGTTTATTAATGTATTGTGTTTCATTTATACAAATAATTTAGAAATTATTGGTTATATTGCACATTACTTAAAAAATAAAGAATGGTTGCGAAAAATATCACAATCTTGACAATAAGTTTCTTCCTTGCGAGGAAACTCTAATGATGAAGGCTTAGTTACACACTAAAATAAATAAAAAGAGTTGCTTTGGATTAAGTTACAATTATACGCTTTTTACCATCTCTCCACGTTTTGGTTGCTTTTATGCTAGCGTGAATGTTCCATAAATTATATTAGACTCTGATAATAAAATTTTCTTATTACGTGGAGTTTTATTACTAGCTCATAGGTAATATGGTAGTGACATATTGAATGGGATTAATTTAAGAGGAAATTACACCTACACCTGCTTTTAGATTTCCAATTTCACAAATAAGGTTACAAGCTTAATATTTCAAAAATCGGGTTTTAATTAAAAATT